TGTACAGTCCTGACAACTCAACAAAGCCCTAGATTCATGGCTTTGCCTTTATTAAAAGGGAGGTAAGACTCCAAAGGACCCAGAACAGTCTTTGCCCCAAGTGCTGCTGGTGCACCTGCCAGTCCTCAGTTCATTCATTCCATCACACAGCACTACATGTTCCACACCAATCATAAGCTATACTCCAGGATCACAAAGATGTGGCCCCTGCCACTACAAGCATTTGTCACGATCCATAATACCTCTCACAGGTTGCTCCAGGCATGCCTACGCCCATTACACACACACAAACCCTGGGTTTCTTCAGATTTCTCAGTTCCTCTAGCAGAACCATAAAGTGTCAGTGCTAAAAAGGACTTTAAAGGACTCTGCAGAGTCCACTTACAGATGCAGAATGAAGACTACCCATCAAGGTACAATGACCTGACTAAAGTCACATAGCTAATTAAATAGTCACTTAGCCTGAAGCCCCTGTTCTCTGTCACTATGTTACCAAGGCCCTAAAATAAGACTTTCTTTTCTTTTTGGAGACAGAGTCTTGCTCTGTCACCCAGGCTGGAATGCAGTGGCATGATCTTGGCTCACTGCAACCTCTGCCTCCCAGGTTCAAGCGATTCTCCTGCCTCAGCCTCCTAAGTACCTGGGACTATAGGTGTGTGCCACCACACCTGGCTAATTTTTTGTATTTTTCGTGGAGACAAGGTTCACCATGTTAGCCAAGATGGTCTCGATCTCCTGACCTCATGATCCGCCTGCCTTGGCCTCCCAAAGTGCTGAGATCAAAGGTGTGAGCCACTGCGCCCAGCCAACAAGACTTTTTATAGCTCCCTTGTTTCATATAAACAGACAGATGTAACCTATCATTCCCTTTTTCAAATCTTTACTTCCAAGTGCCCTCTGACACTGTCCTTCTGTGCTTTATTAGTTATAAAAAACCAATCCAGAAGTAGTCTATCAAATGGGACCAGATTATTCATCCTAAGGTAAAAATGACTCCTATCAACCAGACATTTGCTTTATAATAGATGATAGACTTTCCACCCAGAATTTCTAAGGCAGTAATAATAGACCTCAGTAAAGACTGGGTCATGCATGCAGCTGTTTGGGAAGGAAAAGGGCGGGGGGGGGTCTTCTCAGGCCTGTCATATCACTGCAATAGTACAGCCCCTGCTGTGTACAGAGAACACAAGTATAAAGATGGGCCTCTGCTGTGTACAGGGGACACTAGAATAAAAAAGGACCCCAATCCTAATATATATTGAATGAACAACTAGGAAAGAAAGAAGGGAAGAACTCAAAACCTTCTAAAACTTTAAACACAGTGTTCTCATCTAGGGTCTTAGCATAAGAATCTTTCCCTTATCCTGAAACATGTCAGGCTTTGGGTAAGCACCTCACAGTATTTTAAAAGAGCTGCACAGATCCAAATGGGCAGATGGTGTTATTTAAGGCGCACATATTTGGTGTCACTTTGAATTCTTTTCCCTGGTACATACCTACAATGTAAACAGCAAAGCTCTCATAAACAAATTTAGATTTTAAAAGTACTTCTTGGACGTGCTAGTAGCTCAGTGGGCCTGCCACAGTAGAACAAGTTTTTAGTATGACAGACAACCAAAAAAATTAAAATATAAATATGCATTTCATAGTCTTAAAAACTTAACCTCTCCTGTGCTTTTTTCCTATTCATGCTCTGCCCCTAAGAGGGTGAAGTAAGATGAGTACTAAAAAGTATCAAGTGTGTTTGGCATTTAGGAAGTCAACAGGGACCTGATCATTTAGTTTAAAGGCAAAACCCCTTTAAACTAGATAGCCAGGCTATGTGATCTTGGTTGCTTTTCTTAATCCTTTGGGGCTTGGTTTTCTAATGTGTAAAATAAGGTCACTGTAAGCAATCGGTTAATGTTGGATAAAGAAATGGAGAGAGAAAGGGAGGAATGACTAGAAGACTGAATGGAAGGATAATTGGAAGGTTGACTGGATGGATGATAAGGGCTGGTCTGTTTGATGTAATGGGAGATTGTCTAAATGAACGGCAGGATCAATAAAAGGTTTTTGTTCATTTTGTTATGAAAAAGAGATGCTCATACATATTTGTGTTAGAGGGAAAAAATCCAGTGGAAAGAGAGAAACTGAAGGTCAAAAAGAGTACAAATAACCAAAAGACATGATGCCAAGTAGGAAGCACATACCATTCTACCTTCACCACTTCTTGCTCTAAGATAGGAAGAAAGAGAAAGAAGAATGAATAGGTGGAGACATTCTATTTTGGAGAGTAGACTGTGATATGAGCTGTTTCCCAGGTTAGAAGGTAACAGTAGGATAAAAACTGGGTGACATTGATCTCAGTGGAGGTGCAGGTAAGGTTTACTTTCTGGAAATAAGGGAGGTGGGGATGGAATTGGGAATGTGAGGGTTGAGAAAGTGGTTTGGACCTGTATCTTACAAGGCAGAAGGGCCAAGAACTATACTCGGGGTCCAGATTATATTTAAAACACCATTTGGCAAAGACCCAGTGACCAACACCCAGAGATCTCCTCCATTATTATTTGACAGAAGCAGAGAAGATAACTAAGGAGCACCGGGGCTGGGAGCTGTGGGCAGAGACCCGTTTCCAGCTGGCCTAAGTCTCAAACTTGTCTCTTGTTTACCTGCAGGGAGCTAAAATCTGACAAAGGTACAATAAACAAGGCCCTTCCATCAATCTTGCAGACCTAAAAGCAGACTGTTTGCTCAAGAAGCCTAGCTTCTTCCTACTCAATAAGTCCTCTTGTTTGGAATTGTATATTCTATATATAAAACACTTCATGTGTCAGGAATTTCTCTATGCCCTATTAACACACTCAAAAATGCTTTCAGATTTCCCCATAGCAAAAGTGTAGTAATTCCACACCAACGCTGTTAAACCCATGAGAAATACGAAGATGACAAAGCTTGAAATTGACTAATTGCTTCTTAGGAATTAAAGTAGACAATGATGTCACAGGAGGATTGATACTGTGATGGTAGAGACTGAAGAAGGAATATGAAACTTTCTGACAGTCTACTCCTAGATAGAAAGATTGCCAAATCAATGCCTACTTTAAGTCTTCAAAAATATATCTGGTGGTAAACAGGTTTTTTTTTGGCAAAAGGGGATTTATCTGGGCTTAAGAAGATAAGCCAAGTCAGTTGGCATGTGTTACAGTAATACCTGTAACAGTTTTTGTTTCTTTTTTGAATCCTAAAGCATATCATTTTTACTATATTGACTCTTTCAAAGTCCTTCCTAATTTCTCATGACAGACATCACACTTTCTTTTTACACTCCAGGTTTCTGTATGTTTTGTTTAGGAATATGAAATAGCTACCGAGTAGGTCTTTCTACTTGGCCTCCTGCTTCCTAAATCTCAGCCAACACCTCCTCAGCCACCTGTTCCCCTAAACAGTTGTGGGGGCTATGTAAACTGGCATTCCGCCCTTTCACCTGCCTTTTTGGCCACCTGTTGCCAAGGCTTTAAGAAAACACAGGGAAGTAAGGCTCTCTTCAAGGTCAACAGCCAATGATCCATCCCCACCTCTGTGTCTCTAAGTTCACAGAATGAGTGTTTCCATTGCAGCATTAACTACTGAGGCCTAAAAGGGAGGGTAACTCTCTTGAGCCAAGTCATGGAGACCACTGAGAACTGGGAGAAGCCAGCCTGTGTCATTCATCCCAAGCCCTGCCAGCTATCCTCAAGGTTCCTCCTCTAGAGAGTCTAATTCAGTTGGTTTGGGTGTTACTTGGAACCCATCATTTTAAACAATCTCCCAGATATTTCTGATGCAGTCAGTTAATTCATTTATTCCTTGGATCTTATGTGCATTCACCTGGCATTTTGTATACAGTAATACACAAAAACACAGATATGGTTCCTGCCTTTGTGATGCTTCTATTCTAAAGAGGAATAAGACAATAAATGATCACACAAATAAAATATAATGATAATTGTGCTAGGTATTAGTCTATGTTTTAGGCTGGACAAATCTGGCCTAATCCATGGCCAATTAGAAAAAGAAAGAATGTTTTCTCCAAAGAAGGTTGCAGGCTTCCTCCCCCCTCTTCCACTCTCTTATCTACCTGACCCACTTCTGTGTGTCTGTTAAAATGAAAATATGGAGAGGCCTTTAGGGCACAGTCCAATGAAGAGCAAGCCAGATCGCCAGCTGAGGGGCGTGCTTTATCCTCATGGAATTTTTAAAAATGGTTGCCCCCGGACCTTGTCACGACTACGCCTGAGGCCCTGTTTCATCTCCTTGTGTCCTGGGTGTGGTTAGGCCCTAAGCTGGGAGCTATTTGCCTCTCAGGAGAAAGCCAGGGCAGGGTTCAGCAGGGAATGGTGTGTCTCCACTGCTTGCTGTGCCTTTGACTTCCAACCATGTGGTGCTTGCTAACGAGCAGTGGTCCCAAAGTGACGTGAGAGCCTCAATGCTGTTGTGAAAATGACCAGGAAGAAGAGTTCACAAGTAGCCACAAGATGGCAATTTTGGAGCCAGAAGAGCTCTCCATGCAGAAACAAGAGGAAGTAACCTCAGGAATAGAATTCCTTTTGGGGAAGAAAGAGGCCATCTGGCTGTTAAGAAAAGCATCCCAGAGGAGGAAGAACTGTTATATGTCCTAAAGCCAAGTTGCATCCAGCAAGGAAGGAACACCGAATAGCAGCTTGGGGCAGCCTGTGGCCTGCAGAGAAATCCAGGTGACACCCCAGAGGGGCTAGGAGAGGACACCCTTCTGAGAACAGTCATGGCTCGCTCAGCATCACCCCACTCAGAGACCAGAGGAGGTCCCAGCTGGGGTGACACAGCCCTTCTCCACCCGGGAAGGCCAGCATCCTTCAGAAAAAGTATCCCTGAGGAGGAAGAGGAATCGTTAAACATCTTAAAAGGTTCAGCTTTTTGAGCCTTCTGAAGATAGTCTTGTGAGGAGGGTGAAATGCGTGAATGTGCATAAAACCCACAGACCAGCACCCCAGAGTCTCTAGCCTCTTGGAATTTGTGTCTTCTGCAGAGGAAACCCCAAGAAGACTGATCAGTTGTTCAATTCTAAAACAATGGCCCAGGGTTTGGTGACATTCGCCGACATAGCCATAGACTTTTCTCAGGAGGAATGGGCCTGTCTGAACTCTGCTCATAGGGACCTGTACTGGGATGTGATGCTGGACAACTATAGTAACGTGGTCTCACTGGATTTGGAATCAGCCTATGAGACTAAGAATTTACCTACAGAAAAAAGCCTTCATGAAATACGCATTTCCAAAAGGAATTCAGATAGAAGAAGTAAATCCCTTGGCCATAACTGGATATATGAAGGTACATCTGAAAGACCACAGCGCTCCAGAGGCAGGTATGTCAATCGAATGATCATCAGTTGTGTAAAAAGGCCCACTACTAGAGAAGGCACCCCTCCCAGATCCCATCAGAGACATCCTAAGGAGAATTCCTTTGAATGTAAGGATTGCGGGAAGGCCTTTAGTCATGGCTATCAACTTGGTCAACATCAGAAAATCCGTACTGGTGAGAAACCTAACGAATGTAAAGAATGTAAGAAGTTCTTCCAATGGGGCAATCAGCTTACTCAGCATCAGAAAATCCATACCGGGGAGAAGCCGTAGGAATGTAAAGACTGTGGGAAGGCTTTTCCATGGGGCTCAAGCCTCGTTATTCATAAAAGAATTCATACTGGGGAGAAATCCTACGAATGCAAAGACTGTGGCAAGGCCTTCCGGCGTGGCGACAAGTTCGCGCAGCACCAGAGGTTCCACACTGGGGAGAAAGACTACAAGTGCAAAGACTGGGAAGACTTTTAGCCGCGTATACACTCATTCAGCACAAGAGAATTCACAGTGGGGAGAAGCCTTACAAATGTAAAGACTGTGGGAAGGCCTTTATTTGTGGCTCAAGCCTCATTTAGCATAAAAGAATTCACACAGGTGAGAAACCCTATGAATGTCAAGAATGCGGGAAGGCCTTCACTCCAGTAAATGACCTTACTCGGCATCAGAAGATCCATACCAGTGAGAAGCCCCACGAGTGTAAGGAGTGCAGGAAGGCCTTTCGCTGGGGTTCCAGTCTTGTGAAGCACGAGAGGATACACATGGGCGAGAAGCCGTACAAATGCACAGAATGTGGGAAGGCCTTCAACTGTGGCTATCATCTTACTCAACAAGAGAGAATCCACACGAGCGAAACCCTGTCCAAATGTAAGGAGTGTGGGAAGGCTTTCATTTACGGCTTGAGCCTGGTGAAACACGAGTGAATTCATACCAGGGTGAAGCCCTACGGGTGTACAGAATGTGGAAGGAGCTTTAGTCATGGCCATCAGCTTACACAGCACCAGAAAACACACAGTGGGCCAAAATCCTACAAATGTAAGGAATGTGGGAAGGCGTGTCACCAGCTAAACCTCCTCCGAGAACATCAGAGGATCCACAACAGTTGATGCGCCCTTTGAACTCAGCCGCCTGCTGTTATCCGTGGATTCGCTCTCCACATTTTGTTACCTGCAGTCAACTGCAGTTCAAAAATATTAAATGGAAAATTCCAGAAATAAATTGTAAGGTTCAAATGGTGTGCCCTTCTGAGTAGCGGGATGACATCTCTTGCTGTCCTGCTGCAATCAGCCAGGGATGTGACTTGCACCTTGGTCCAGCACATCCACGCTGTATATGCTGCCATCCTGCTAGTCACTTAGTAGCTGCCTTGGTGGTCAGATCGACTGTCACGGCATCACAGTGCTTGTGCTCAAGTAATCTTTACTTCACTTAACAGTGGCCCCAAAGAGCAAGAGTAGTGATGCTGGTAATTTGGATATGCCAAAGAGAAGCCACAAAGTGCTTCCTTTTTAGTGAAAAGGTGAAAGTTCTCAATAAAGAAAAGGGAAAAAAATGTATACTGAGGTGGCTAAGAGCTACCTGACAATAAGATATTTTGGGAGAGAGAGATATGTTCACATAATTTTATTACAGCATATTTTTACAATTGTTCTATTTTATTAGTTATTGTTGGTAATCTCTTACTGTGCCTAATTTATAAATTAATCTTTAGATATGTTTGTACAGGAAAAAATGTAGTATATAGTATTGTAAAAATGTACAGGAAAAAAACAGTCAGTACTATCTATTGTTTCAGGTATCCACTGGATGTCTTGGAATGTATCCCCCCTCAGGTGATAGGGGGCTTCTATACAAAGAATGTATGACTACATTCTTTCTAGACTACATTCATGCCTTCCTCAACATGAGAAAAATTCATGATACTGTTGAAGATAGGAAAGCCTTCACTGATTTTTTTTTTTTGGACACAGAGTCTCATTCTTGCCCAGACTGGAGTGCAGTGGTGCGATCTTGGCTCACTGCAACCTCTGCCTCCCAGATTCAAGCAGTTCTCCTGTTTCAGCCTCCTCAGTAGCTGGGATTACAGGAACCACCATGCCTGGCAAATTTTTTATTTTTAGTAGAGATAGGTTTCACCATGTTGCCCAGGCTGGTCTCAAACTCCTGACCTCAGGTGATCCACCCGCCTCGGCCTCCCAAAGTGCTGAGATTACAGGCATGAGCCATCATGCCGAGCCCACCGATCACTCTTCTGCTTACAGAATATCAGAAGTCATTCTAGAGGCAAATTCAAAGAGTGGAAAAATCACTTTTTCTTAATTCTTAATGACTATGTTTTTGGTGTAAACGTTTTTATTGTGTAGGTTAGTTTAATGAATACATAAAGACTACCAATACCATTCTGTCTTTATTCCGTGGTATCTGTGGAATAACCCTGCTAATGTAACACATGAGAAAGCCTTTAGTCATGGCACCCACTCTACCAGTTGTCCCTGCCATCCCCCACCATCTTCCCTGTGAGACATGGGCTAAAGGCTCACTACCCCTGTGCTCTGTCCGCCACGTGGACACCATGTGCATTATTTGTACATAAGAATAATCACATCTACCCGAGACTACTATTGTGGAAACGGGAAATTAAATGTTTGGTACATGTAAAGTCTTTGAAAGTGTAACTGGAATATTGTGTAAGTTCAGTAAATAACTATTGTTGTTTTTATGATCATTACTACCATTAGTATTGCCATTAGTGAATTTTTGCAAGAAAATGCCCTGTGGGTGCAGCGAGTCTGGAAAAGACTGTTGATCTTCTAGAAGAAACCATTAAGAGATTATTGTTACAACCGTAAGTTACACAATGATTTCTTAGTAGGCAAAACACAGCGGACATAAAAAGCTGTTAGACTTCATCAGCAAAAGTACAAAAATTCTGTTCATCAAATGATGTGGTTAAGATAGAGAAAAGACAAGAAACAGGACTGGAAGAAGATGTTTGCTCTACTACACCTGACAAAGGAACTCACGTGGAAAATATAAAGAATCCCTCATGTTTAAAAAACAAATCAATTTAAAGGGGCAAAAACCTAAGCACATCACAGGAGAAGATCAGCAGATGGCCAATCAACAAGTGAAAATGTATTCAATGTCATTGCTGCTCAAGGAAATGTAGAGTACACACAACGTGCTGACCCTCTAGGCAGAGACCAGAATGATTCCATTAAAGTCACAGTGACAAAGTAAATTTCAGATGTCTCCCCACAGAGAAAAAGGAGAAGGAAGCAAGGTGATGGACGTGTTAAACAGCTTGATTTAATCATTCCACATTGTGTGCATGCATTATGCATTGCAACATGACTCAATCAGTGTAATCCAATTATTTGTCAATCAAAAATATTAATAAAATCAAAGATTAAAAAGTGAAAATATCAACCACTACTCCCTGCTGCTATCCACCTTCCTAGTCAAACCTTATTGAGAGGCAGAATGATGCTGGGGCGGAGGTGGAAATTTAAGTTCTAGTCTTTACTCCATCCTTATCTAGCAAAGTTACGTAGGCAAGTCACAAGTTTTCTGAATGCCTAGTCCTTAGGTCTTTTTTTTTTTTGAGACGGAGTTTCGCGCTTGTTACCCAGGCTGGAGTGCAATGGCGCGATCTCGGCTCACGGCAACCTCTGCCTCCTGGGTTCAGGCAATTCTCCTGCCTCAGCCTCCTAAGTAGCTGGGATTACAGGCACGCGCCACCATGCCCAGCTAATTTTTTGTATATTTTTTAGTAGAGACGGGGTTTCACCATGTTGACCAGCATGGTCTCGAGCTCCTAACTCGTCATCCACCCGCCTCGGCCTCCCAAAGTGCTGGGATTACAGGCTTGAGCCACTGCGCCCGGCCAGTCCTTAGGTCTTTACTGATTTAAAGTGGATTGCTTCTGAGCATCCCTGCCTCAGCACTGTAACTACATGACTTTCAAGTCCCTCAATTTGTGCTAAAATATAAGCTGAAAACCCAAAAAGGCAGTTTTGTCCCTTTATCTGCCATTAGCTCATTCACCTTCTTCATTTTTGCCATATCTGATCATTAATCTGTTCCACTTAAATGCTCATACCTACAATCAGTCTATGACAGGCATCAGTCTACTTTCTTTGCCTGACATGTGATCTCCTGCAGAAGAACATTAACTTTTGTGGTGAACTCAAAAAACTATAATCCAACAAGGCTAAATGAGCCTGTTTCCTCTTATTCCCTGCAGGATCCCCAGTCATCTGGCCCCCACAGCAGCTCTCTCATTCTTTATTCTAGAGTCAAGAGGCAAGGTACTTCAGAGATGACACGGCTTGACATTTATGTACTGCTTCCCACCCCAAGCCCCCAGGAGCCCTTCTAATCAAGTTTCCCTGAGTCTTTTTCCACTCTTTGTTCCAGAATCATCATCATTTTGGGTGATCCATATGTACCTATCAATTAAAGTGCTACCTGAAGTGCAGTTCAAGGTCTTGAGATGGATGAAAAAGAGGTGAAAGGAAACAGCAATCTTCATCTCCACTTCCTTACTTTTGAATAAGAGAGGATGGAAGGCAAGGCCAGAAAGATCCAGGTTCAAATCTCACCATTTACCTGCTATATAACCCTGGCTAAATTATTTAAACTTTGTGTCTGTTTATATTCAGCAGAGTAAAAGCACTGGTACCCACCACTTAGAATTTCAATAAAAATTAAATGAAATAAAATATGCAAAGTGTTAAATACAGTACATCTAGCATGGAGTGGGAACTCAATAAATGGATCTTTTGTTACAACTCATTCCTACTCAATTGTCATCTGCTACCACTTTCCCAAAAACATACTTCCTTTACATTTAATCCATGAACTAATTATTTTATTTACCATTCTGATTTTATCTATTTCCTGTTCTTGATTCTGACTTTTAAAAATTATGTTCTGGATGCCTTTTAAAAATTACCTCTCATACTAATACACACACACACACACACACACGTACATATATGTATATCTATATACATATCCTGTATCCCTTTAAAATGTGTATCGATCCATGTATCACTGTTGAAATACATACACACATGCTTTAATAGGAATATAGAAATCTATGTATAAATGTCAACAGAGCATACTGAATTTTATGCATCTATCAACATTTTGAGATAATTAAGGGGAGCATTTTCTGCACATAACCACCTTACCTCTCTCACAAGTGAGGCAAAACCCAGGAATTTTCTCCACTGAAATAAACACTGCCTATAGAGGCTGGGGATGTCTTTGCTAGCAGATAAAAGACTAACTTGGCAAGTTTGGACTGTGATGACAGGTGCAATTCTTGTGGATGGAACTGGAGTGGAATGGGAAGGCTTGCACCAAGCAGACAGAGGGGTATCTTGAAATTAAGCAAGGGAAAAAGCTGGATGGATGGGTATGGGCACAGGAACTAAAAGGGAACAGTGAGTTAGATGGTATAAGAAAGTCATTGCTAGCTTTCAACTTGTGAACTTAGAAGTATTTGTGATATCTAATAAAATATACACCTCTTTATTTTTAAACATGTTGTATATTTGTTCAGTTAATTGACTTTTTCTTTACAGAGGAAATATCAGCGTTTCTGTTTGTTTTTAGCTCTCTTTTCCAAAGAAATCAAATTTAATTTGATAATTTTAGTCTCCAGCATAAAAATCCTGAAGTCCCTAAATAATCAATTTCCCCAAGGTCAGTACTATACGTTAAATGTCCATGGCAGGCTCTTAGAACATTGCTTAGGGGAGAGCAGTTAGGTAATTTTCTTCCTGGGGTTAGGAAGCAAATTGCTAAGCATTTCTATGCACACTGCTATTTTGCAGAGCACCTGATCCTTTACCTCAATGCTGCCTCTCCCTGAAATGCACTCAGCAGAAAAGGATAGTGGCTGAATAGAAACATTACCCTGGGTTCATTTTGAGGTCTGGCAAAGCTGAGTCTCTAAAGGTTAGGCATGTCAACAAGCTCTACAGCAGGAACCTAAAGCTATCAAGAGCTAGTCACACACTGTAGTTACTTAGCTCTCAGTACAGACTAGCATTTTGAGACAGAACTTTCAAAATGTTCCTACATGAGACGTTTTCCTTTGCTCAAAGTTTCCTATCAGTCAGGAGTATCCTCTCCTTCCTGAAAATGCTGCAAGGCAAATATACCATAGCTCAGCAATGATTATTTGGTTCAGCAGGGGCACAGACAACCTCACCAGCCCTGATCTGCAAAGGTGACCATGCTCTAGGGAAATCCCTTTATTGCTGGTGAGGCTTCACCAAACCTGAGTTAAAAAGGAAACCAACCATCAGGTCTAGCTTACCAGAATGAAAGGAAACAACCCACACTGAGGTAATTAATTTAGAGCCTGTGAATCCACACCAAGCTCTTGCTAGAATAAAATCCAGACCTATCACTTTATACAGCAGACTAGAAAAACAGCTGACCACAGAGGCAGTAAAACGAGTGAGAGAATACAGGCTGCCTGCACAAGATGGCCTGGGATCCAATCCTGCTCCTCT